TAGAGTGCGAGGTTCTCTTTTCAAACACGCGCACTATGCTGCAAATGTCATTAGACAGCCAGTAAATTCAGATGCTATGCTCTGTGATACATTGCCCCTTAATCCAAATAATGTTCCCTTGTTCTTCACTTCTTGTTATGTTGGCCTAGGAAACTCTGAGCTATAAGGGATTCTGGATATCAGCCTTGTCAAGTTATAAATATCCATGACCACCTCAGGTCACACAGAAGCAAAAATTGGTTATTAAATGTTTGCGATACTAGTTAATAACGAATAATATCACAGGTTAAAATTTAGATCAATAATGCTTTTCAAACACTATGCATTCAAAAGTTCCCCCGATACAAAATAATGTACTGCTACTGAATATGACTGTTAAGTTGTGGTATTGGGTATTTGATATAATCCTTAAACTTCGTATACAGTTCGTCGCGATAACCGTTCTATATAACGTACCAACGGTATATTAATCAGAAGGCAAATACGAAGTGTCGATTACGTTTATTGCGAAACCACACACATATATCCAAAGGTACAGATGTGTTAAACAAGCATAGAAGAGTTGTGACGAAAGGCAAGCAAGCGAACGAGAGCCAGAGCAAGAGCGTGACGAGACCGTACGAGCGAGTGGGCGATTGAGTTCAATATGAATAACATGGACATATATATACCATGTGAAATGAATGAGTAATCTAATCGAATAAGCGGTTAGTGGTAAGATTAGCAGAGTGAATAAATGCGTAGGCAGTAATCAATATTTAAGCATACGTATTTCATACAAGCGCAAAATAATAATAAGGATACAATAAATTGTTATAGCGCGGATGGCTTTGTCCGCTAAATAAGTTAACAAAAAGGGCTTAACTGGGTTAAATGAAAATAAACCCATTAGCACGTGAGTCGCTATAAAGTATACAAGAGTCAACAAGAATATCGCATACATAACAGATCAAGATTTTGTTTGTAAGAGTTACGTCAAACAACAAACGTATCTAACACTACTAAAGAGCAGGCTGAATCCCCCCGACCTAAAAGTCATGACTGGGGAACACTGGTGGATATGGATTACTTGATCACAATTGAGTTGCTGGAATGATGTACAAACCCGTTAATGATCTTGACTGGAAATTCATGTCCTATTCCGTAACGGAACCAGTAGAAAAGACTGCATACCTTTATTTCAGGAATCAGTTACACTAAATGGTGGTATTCCACTCCAAATAATAGCTCATTTTCATAACACAGTATCAGTATACCAAATAAGTCATAAATATTACCAATGAAAGACGAAAGACCGCCTAAGCAGTGTAAAAAATGTCTCATGTGTCCATGAGAAAAAAAATTAGAGGCAAGATGTCATGTTTTAAGATAGTTTACAAAAAGGAACGAGGTTTATTTGACTGTATACAGATAGTCAATATTATACGGAATTCCTATGATGGATTAAACTGCAAAATCGTGAAAGGAGGACGCCTGACGGACTCGTTCGAAGTAAAGACCGGTGCCAGGCAAGGTTGCTTACTCTAACCTTTTCTATTCCTCTCAGTGATCGACTGGATCATGAAGACATCAACATCTGGGGATAAGCATGGGATACAGTGGACAGGTAGGATGCAGCTGGACGATCTAGACTTCGCAGATGATCTGGTTCTTCTATCGCACACGCAACTATAAATGCGGAAGACGACCAGTGTAGCAACAGCCTCGGCAGAAGTAGGTCTCAACATACACAAAGGTTTAAACACGATACAACACAGTATGTAATAATCGAATCACACTTGACGCGGAAGATTCGGAAGATGTGAAAACATTTACATATATGGGCAGCATCGTTGATGAACACAGTGGATCTGATGCAGGTGTGAACGCGCGGATCGGCAAAACAAGAGCAGCATATCTGCAACTGAAAAACATGTGAAATTCAAAACAACTGTCTGTGCACCAACACCAATGTCAGAATTTCCAATACAAATATCAAGACAGTTCTACTGAACGGGGCGGAAACCTGGGGAACTACAAATGCCATCATCCAGAAAATATAAGTGTTCATTAACAGTTGCCTACGCAAAATACTCCGGATCCGTTGACCGAACACTACACTATCAGCAACAACCTACTGTGCGAGAGAACAGATCGGATTCCAATGGAGGAGGAAGTCAGAAAGAACTGTAGGAAGTGGATAGGACACACATTGAGGAAAGCACCCACCTGCGTCACAAGGCAAGCCCTAACACGAAATCCTCAAGACCAAACTAGAAGAGGAAGACCGAAGAACACATTACTCCGTGAAATGGAGACAGATATGAGAAGAATGAATAACAGTTGAATAGAACTGTAAAGGAATGCCCATGACAGAGTGGGTTAGAGAATGTCGGTCGGCGGCCTAGACTTCATTGGGAGTAACAGGCGTAAGTAAGTAAGTTCTGCGTTCGAACCAAATATTAGTATTTCGGTCTTTACAATGATAGTAGTCGAAATGTTAAATAAACAGTTAGACTTCTGATGAAGTTTTGTTCTCTGAGTTAGATGGCTTAGTCATGGAGCTTTCACCGTTTGTGCTGATGGTGTCGTTCAAAAGAACCATGAAGGCCCCACTACTAAACATACAGCTCAGAGAGCGAAACTCAATCAGAGTCACTTACCTGAGTTACAAATCTTCTCCACCATCTCAAAACTGCTGGACATTCATCTTTTTCTCCTAACTTGACGGTACTCGCCGGTTTCGCAAACAGTTATGGCAGTGGATGAATTTGATAGAATAACATAGATACCTAAGCATCGGAGAATTCTTCGGACAATAATTGATTCTAACGCGACTCATGTTGCCGAGTATCTAGAGTAAATAAGCCGACTCTGAAACATTAATTGATGTAGACAAATGAAAAAAGATTACAACAGACACAGGAAAACGCAACGGTCTACAGTAAAAGCATTTCCCGAATGTTTTATTTGAATTCACTAAGGCTGAAAGTTAAGGATTAGAGGCTGAAATGCTTCAATCTTGGTAACCCATAAGTTGGTTCTCAAGGAAGACAAGTCGTATCCAGTATGCAATCGGTATTTAATGGATCAACACACAAACTCTTGTGGTTCACACAAATGATCACTTAATTCGACACTATGGGAACCCATCAATTACGAAAATATGACGTAGAGGGAGCGTCGATTTGGAAACTTCCCTCTATTTTCAAAGAATATGTGGTCACGATGTTATGATCAAATACCTAAAGATAGCATCCTCTACATAATACAATGCATAACCACACTGGACGATTTTAATACTAGGTTTTTAGGTTAATCTCACCTAACTAGAAATGCCAGCAACAAGAAAAAAGCTGACAAAAACTAGGAAGTTTCGACATAAAAATTAACTATAAACACAAAATATGTTCTTGTGGCAATTGTTTCATACAAATTACTCTTCCCATACATTAACGCTAATAGTACACCAAAGTTACTTGACGCTGCTTATAGAAGAATAAATAAAGCCGAACAAGTCACGTCCTCGAATCACAAAACTTCTTCAAGAAAAGCAGGATACAGTAGAATGGCTAAATGAATATAAGAAGTGGAAGCATGCATACCCTCATTATACACAAGTCACCTAATATTATCAAATACACTGCTCCAATTCATGTTTATGTAACAAATGTTTGGCAGGAGCTGCATGTGAATGGGAATGTACGTTTCCCGAATTTCCTCACTTGCCAGTGTAGCAGGGAATATCTCCATGCTTAAGGAGATCCTGGTGAAATTCACTTGACAAGTCGTCGACTCCAACTAAAACGACCTAAGAGGTTCACTATGTCATGACTCATTGCAAGTACTTGGATAAACACCATACATTCGTACCTTACTGAACAAGTCACAAAATGAGCGTCTTTCATATTTTAATATCTTTTACTGTTACACAATAAACCAAAATAGACCTCAGTTGTGCTTTATAATTATCGTCCTGAAAGATTTCATAGAAACTGTTATCAAAGGCCTAAAATCTAGAAGCAAATTCACAACACCGACACAGCAAACATTTATAAAATGGAATTTATTCATCAATAAGCTGCTAAATTCTAAACCAATAAAAGTCTTTCAACATGATATATTTTTTCATCCGAATTAAAATATTATATTCAGAGGCCACATTAATTCGCAACAACTTTTATGGTCCCGACAGACTCGTGGTTAGATACATAATAGAGAATACTAAATTCAGTACAAACTCATTCTTATACTGGAATTGGTGGGATAACGAGGCATGTTGATGCCCACAACAAAAACTTGAAAAACAAGAAAAACGACAACAAAGATAAAGATCTGAATGTGTGCAACACAATGTTATGAAAATAAAAAATGTCGTTTTGTGTAATTAGTACTGACTTAGGATAAAATTTAAAATAGGATTACCTGGTGGTTATTGAAATTTGAAGATAGAATAATGATAAACGACCTAAAATTCACAAATTTATTCCCAAAGTAATGACCACTTCGAACCTACCACAAGAAAATTTAGTCTCTCATGATTAACTTCATTCACTATAAAATAGAGTTAAAATGGTTCAAACGGTTTTGGACAGAATAGAAGAAGCTTCCACTTAATGCGCTTCTGTATTTAGTGGCAGTGGATCACCGATAACTCCAGGCAGGAACCTGAGTATATTATTGATAAAAGAGGAAAAGAAAAAATGCTGGCAAATCATAGTAAGATTCTACCCTTAATCCTTAAGAATATGCCAAGTTTTCTCTTGAAAGACTTCTGGGAAGTAGCTTAGACTATCTCAGCTGGCAGAGAATTCCAGCAATTGATTACTTTTATGGAGTAGAAGATATGTCTACAGTACGTTTTGCGGTGCTGTCTCCAGTTTCTGGGTCCTTACCCTTAGGTTTGTGAGCGTAATAGTTATCACACAAAATAATATCAAATAATTCCGTCTTTCTGTCCTTAAACCGGAAATCAGATAAAATTAGAGGGTCTATTTGTTATAGGAGTTGTTTGTTTGCTTCGACCTTGCAAGTATCAACTTTGTAAATTTGGTTCAAAACCGATTGGTGTGTGAGTGTGGGTTCATTTTTGTGGATGGTTCTCTTTTCGTTCAATGATAATAAGTGTTAAAAGTGTAAGTCACTAAATAGTCTGTTTAATTTTATTGTATTTTTCAACACAATCGCTTGCATTCGTACGGAAGTGCACTTGGGATAGAAGTTCTAACAGCTACATTCAAAAACTGTCTTATTTAGAGGTCTCAAGTAATACAATAACAGCGGTTTCACTAAGACTAAGCTCTTCAAAGGCAAAAGAAGTGCGGCTTTATTTCATAAAATGAAAGTTACATAGACAATGAAATGAGTTTCGGTTGCACTGCAGAGTCAGTTAGTTTAAGAGAAACAATAATATACTTTGCCAAAGTAACAATACTTTGGCATCGAAATTGTTAAGAAAAAGTATCTTTTTTGTATAATTGTAACATTCGGGTTTGAAATGTTATTAATTAATTAACCAGGTACAGATTCGTGTATTTCGCTGAAAGCTACACTTCAGGTGTAAAGTTTAAATATATTACCCAGCTGCCCAAAACAAAGTAGAGGAAGCAGTTTATAAAATTGCGACTTATTGGTTAAGATCCAAACCACTGAGCCGCTGCTTTAAAAGAGAGATGAGACGCTATTGACGGTAGTATTTTGAAAAGCTGGTTTGTATCACATTGCCGATATGCAACATATGCAGTATCCCAGACATGCTGGCCAACTAAACAACATAATACTCTGTTTTCCTCGTCCGGCGTACTATCTTTTCCACCTGACATGACTAACTTACGAGTCAAGATATTTTTGAAGTTACTCTTGTGAATTCATAGTGTTATGAAGTCATTTACTTTATCAATCCCAGCAAAGTAGCTACTTTTGAAAATGACGAGAATGTAATGATGTCATTCTAATTTTACTGTTCATCCATAGAGATTGCGTAGCGATCTTTTCATGTATATTTAACCTCGTATGATGACTTTCGTTTCCAAGCCTTGTACGTTGCTGAAATAAAATAAAAAGTCCAGTTGATGCACGAGACAAGTGAGCACACACAAACCTAACTGCGCATTATAATCTTATTAAGGCGTTTCGTTTACCAACAGAAATTCAATTTTTTAAGCTTTTCCTCATAAAGAGGTACTCCATACAAGTGTTGGTTTTTCTGACAACAAAAGTGACAATTATAAAAACATTTCACTTGTTAACCAGGAAGCTCATTGATTGGGTTCAGTAAACCCTGCAATATGAATACCTTTATTTGATACAGCAACAAAGACAGCATAGTAGTAATATTAAGATAGAAGTTTTGTCGGTGTCAATACGATTAGATTTACCAGTCATTTCTTATGGAAAGTAATATTTGAAGATATAAACCATTCAGGTTTCTCTTCTGATGCACGCCATATGTCACTGCGACCTTATGTTGCCTGAATAGTTTTTTACTCAGTACAATCAGTTGTGATAACAGGTGATTTTAGTTACGGCAAAAGTTGTCTACCAAAAAGACAGGTTAAACTTACAATTTGATAACTACAGTAAGTGATGAGCGTCTCGAAAAGGATGCTTTGTTGAGTCTACTCGTTTAGTAGTTCGGTTTAATTTACTGTTTAGCAAAGAAAATAATATTTACATTCCGTTCGTTTATTCATCTATTTTACATGTGATTTTCCGACATCTGTGGTAGACTAGTAAAACCGTAAAGTTCACACAAATCTAAATTGCTAGTAAGAAGCAAAACATGGAAATCAAAAGGTTTATCAAAATCCTTACTGAGCTAAGCAAATAATTAACCTGATTATTTTCATTTTCAAGCTGCAGACTGGCTAGAAGGTGGAATAATCCTTTTAGGATTCATGAAGTCAGTTCACATGACTACTGGTTTCAGACGAGCGTTGTCAGCGTTCATTTGTTTAGTGACAGGTCAGGTTGATTGATTTCCGATTGCTTGGATTATAAGAGGAGCAGTGGTCAGTTCACCATCAGTTTTGCTGTTCATGCGTTTAAAAAACAAGATGTTTCTGAGCATTAACTTTTTTACTTCTTGCCTCAGGCTGATTTAAACGAGTTCTTTAAAATAGGCTTCGTCTAAATGTCAGTTTGAACCTTGCATAGAAAATGAAACTACGGGTCCTCAAAATCATGACATATGTTAATTAGAAATGCTCGACAGCTTGGCTTTGGCGTTCCACACTGTGATCTGTACATACGTCTACTATATTCCCTGGCCAGAAACCGATTTTCATCATTAATTACTTCTCTTGATTTTCTTCTAATTTCACGTATTGCAAGGTAAACCACCGTACATTGCTCTGTCTCGTTTTTATCTCAAGAATTGTTACTCTACTGAATGTTTATAAATATCGATGCTGTTTTTTGGATTAAATAATCATCGTCAAAAACAACAACTTAACCACTATAATTATATCATTGTATCCCTATGTTCGTAAAATGTTTTCATATAATCTGTATTCGTTTGTCTGTATTCTTGGTACTGTTTTATCTAGACGAATAGACGCCATGTGTCTAAAAGATACCTGAGGAAGTAGTTAAATATTTTGGTAAGTAAAATGTTTCATTTTTCCGAGTGCCTAACTTGGAATGCAACCGTACTCTGCGAAAAATCAACTGTTCCATCATTTCATGTCGATTTAGAACGCAAAACAACACCTCCAGAATTTTCTGCTGAAACAGTGATCAGGGTGATTAATTTGATATTACTAGTTTAAATAAGATCATTCAAATAAATGTTTTATCTTGTAGCTTGGAACTTTGTCGTGCAAGTTGTAGTTCACTGTTTTGATCGCTCAGTTCTCGATTGCTGTCACTCTGTTTAACATACCAAAGTTTAAACAACCAATTAATATCGTTATCTTCCGGAAAATCCTTGTGGTTTATTGTTTTTTAAATTTGTTGCTAAGTAGTGACTCTATAATAACCTAACCTTTTCTGTTTATCCCATAAGACCACACTGTAGATAACCTAAATTAGTCATTACTAACTGTTGTAAAACCCAAATGTATTAGGGTTCACCCTTCAAATCCTACACAGTTTGAACTTTCTTATAGTAATGCCTAATACATTCGTATATCAAAGTCAATTAAAATAACTTCCTTAAAGCTAAATCCTGCGGGAAGTCATCTCACTGTTATAATTTCATAGTTCATAACTTTAAAGCCTTTCACTATGATAACCCACACCTAAAACTAATGCTTTTTTAAACTTTTTAGGGCCGTTGTCGTCCATGGAATCACCTGAGAAGCAAACTCCCAGGACTAGCAATGCATTTAAAAACAAGCCTGGGCGAGGTCGAACCGCCTCACACGTCAAGAGGTCTAATGATAGGACAAGTCGTTCAATGGCTAGTAGACGTACATCTGTAGACTCAAGGAAAAAAAGTAATCCCAAATGTAGTAGAGGAAAAGCTTATGCTAAGGTGATTACTATGTTTAAATATTCAGTGATGTATACACTACAATCGCCTAGTAACTACAATCAACTAAGCCAGTATGTTTTTTGTTTGCTGGAACATTTAATGGAACTCAGTGAGTAAACATTTTCTCACCTCAGAATGAAATTACGTTTGTATACTTAGAAGTCACGTTTTACATAGTCGCCAAAATCGTTTGTGTTTCGTCTGCTCAGATGGGTATTACCTAGAGAGAATTTAACGATTGCGATAGACATTCGTCTTAGCAATCCCCTCTCCAATTAGAGAGAAATTGATGTCATATGGTGTATGGGAGCGTAGAATTTCCTACTTATCAGTCAACCAGTAGGCTGCCGGTCCAACCCTTTCCCCACTTCATTTGAAGCAGTCAGGTATTATAATCAGCTTTTACAAAACCTATGTGACTCAGTCAAATACCTTTACCTGGTAAATGAATTACATCATTGTTTTTACCAACCGGTTCCAAATAATAACTTACTCCAATATGTAATGCTCCCATCTTATTTTTATCTGCGAATAATTTCGGCTGATAAAATGCAATAAATTTTCGCAAGATCTCGCTTAAATATTGTCGCTTTTGAATCAGATGTTACTACACTATGACTTCAATTAGTCATTCAGTTTCGTGGCCCATGAACATTGGTGAACGTCACAAATTGGATCATTTCATTACTTTTTTAGTATCGAAATCAATGTATTCCTAATCCCTATTGCATGTAAAGTTATGTTCTGGCATTACTTAACCCTGAATTTTACGATTTATTAATTCTTAATGGTTACATACCCTTGTTTATTGCTCCAGCCCGTTTGCAAAACTTATAAGAAATGACTATGTGATTCCTAACCATGGAAACTCAACTATCTATTCAACTTACGATCTCACGGTCTATCTGAAAGAACAAAAAAATAAGTACATATGGATCTATTCACCGAAAGCTGAATAACAAACATCAACTGTCTTACATGACGTGTATATGTTATGATACAAGACTTTGTAAGAGTAAAATCAGTCATTAACTGTGGCATATGCGGAAATAAATAGTCGTCGCAAATGTTTTTGTTTTCACATTTGAAATTATCAGCTTAATTTTTCACATACGTATTCACTTTTTTTCCGCCTAAAATTGTGTAAAATGTGATTGTTGTCAGATTATATGCTGAAAATTCTGTTCTGTACCTACGCCTTTTGTGACGAGGAAGATGATTATTATTTACTAATATTTCAATCAGTGAAGATATTCTTGGTTGGCTTAACACATATCTAAGTGTTTTTTAAGTGCTCTCAGTTATCAGAACTTCGTTATACTACCTGGCTTCAATAGCACATTTTGTTGTCAGTAAATATAACCAGTCTTATTGAAGCCGCGTTTATCGCCAACTGAAGGTGACCAGTTCAAGCTAGTGCAGAAGTGAAGCGTGCTGGCTGAAAAATTATACAGGTTAACGTTGCAGCGATAAAACCAAGAGTATTTCAGACTAATCCGACCACTGTACCTTCTTGCGATACAGGATTCTGCGCTTATTCTATGCCTTATTTCCCTTAAAGTCAAGTTACCTGAATGTCAAATATCTCCCCATACGATTGATATTCATTTATTTTTTTCATTTTAGTTTACTTACCATACTTCACTGACCCTGGCAGTTATGCAGAGATGCAATAATTCATTTGGTCACAACTTTTTATTTTGAACTCATTGGGTATGTCTCGGGAAAATAAGGAAACTGAGTATATAGATCGGTTGTTTATCAAGCCCATAATGCTTAAGTGTATGTCCTTTCGATTTAGTAGTTAAGGTGTTCGACTTTCCGCTGCCAAGTCTCGGATCCGAACCTCATTCCACCTTCAGTTTGGGTGATAGGATAGTATCACTAACACCAAAGTACCCGGTGAATAAGTTAATTGTTATCATCACATCTTTCTGGATACTACTGCTACTATTCATGTCAGAGCACAAGATCTTTGAACTGTATTAATGAAAGTAATTTTCTAGCATTGAATGGTAGCAAATTAGACTCACACTTTTCTTTTTTGTAGCTTATTCAAACCAAATCTCAACGCAGAATCCCGAATGGTCGTGTTGCTAGCCGTTCTTCTGCTTTGTACAGGTTAAAATGCAGAACTTCACAGGCTGTGTATGTTAATAAACGACCATATAGGCGTCGTATTCCAAATGTCAATTCTCAGGCAAATACTTCAAATACTTCACCACAAACTAACTCTGAGTTTGGTATCATTCCTAATGATGAAAACCCAGTTGAGCAGGTTCAATCGATCAGTTGTTCCAACAGAACAACAGGTCTTAAACGAAAATACACTCGGCGCAATTCATCTTCAAGATTTTCTTATACTAGAAAACCCAATGCTAGAAGTACGCAGTCCAACTACACTAACTCAATTGTTGATTTTAATAACTTGGTTAAAAAACAGGAAGCATTTGTACGGGCTTTTGCTATTCCAACACACTTGTATAGATATCTTTCCCATCGTCATCGTGATCGTCCGTTATATCTGGACCGTACTCTCAGCTATTTGATGCCAAATCCATCCCGTAAACAGTCGTCTGGTAAGTTAAAATCCCCACTGTATTAGCTTCTTAGGTCTGCATAACAAGTGTGTCTAAAATTTGATTTCAGTTTATCTTAATAACCGTAATCAGCAAAGCGACTTGCCAGTTTAGACACTGAATAGCTAATTTCAAAATAAAGGAATAAAATCCTGCTGAATACAAAGTTACGAATCTTTTAGTATATTTAATATGTGGCTAGCAGTGGAATTTAGGAGGTACATTCCCTCCCATTTGAAATTTGTCACCTCGATGTGTCTCCATTCCAGTTTGAATGTTCATATTGAAACTTAAATCCGGTGTCTTTCTCTTCAAACACTGACGCGTAATCCACCGATCTACTGAGTTGATGTAACCACGAACTTTTTCAACGAGCTTAAATCTATCACGAAGGGTTTGTAATTTTCCGTTGTTAATACTCAGAAGTAGAACTAATCAATCCTTTTTGCCTGATCTGTTTTCCCAACGAGTTGTCTCTATATAGCCTGTAATTACAAGTTTTAGCATATTTGATATATGGTTAGCGGTGAACGAGTTATCGAGTGATACTACCCTACTGCCTAAACCGAAGTAAATGGAATTTAAACTAGAGACCTGTTTGGTATGAATCCCGAGTCCTTTAACCACAAAATCACCGCCCTCATAAAAGTTATAACTTTCCTCACATTTGTTTTTGGCAAAAAAATATGATAACCATAACCATTAAGTATTTCGATCAACTTGTAGTTTATTATTGATCTAGGTTCACGTCGAAGCATAAACAAAATTGTAGAACGTCTAATTGAAAGACGAAAAGATTGCAGACAGAATGATGAATCGAAGGATTCCAGTAAGTACTCAGAATCCATTTCCTCTTCCTCTTCAACGACTCCTGGTGAATTGCCTCAAGAATTAGAACTCGTTTTTGAAGGCTTTTACGATAGTGAAAAAGAAGTGGATTGGGTCACCGTGGACGTAAGTGCATTGTTTTGTGTTGAATAGTATCTCACTTATTGTTGTACAATTCCATTATACAACGTCGGTTTTTAATTTTTTTAACCATTCATTTAACTTTATAAAAATTCTACCTGGTACACACGTTTATGTAACAAATTCTTCAGTGTTTAAATTAACTGGATAATAAATCTTTTGATATCCTTCAAGTCAATCAGTCAGTCGTTGGCAACACAGAATCTGGCACATATGTATATCGGCCCAAGTTACCCCATCTTATAAGCATAACAAGATGAAACTATAATGACAAATACCAGAGTAATTGAAGTAGTAACAAAAATATCAGTGTTAGTAGCAAAACACGTTAGACATTGTCCGTATACTTTGAGAACGAATGAATGAATTCACAGAATAAAACTATGAAATAATTTCAAAAATTCGAAATCTAATGGGTAAAGAGTATCATATGCATCTGCACCATTTAGAGTTGCTTCTAAACCATATTAACCAATTCATCTACAAATATTCTGTAAAGAGAGTTAGTTGCTAGCAACGACAACTAGTGATCCTTGCTTCCATTCTTCATACTAATTGTGGATTAAAATAAAATTTATTAGTTTTATGCATACACGTGAGTTTATGACTGAAAAATTTTTTCAAAAATTGAAAGCGAATTATGTGAAACTAAATAGTCTTAGTTTTTTTAAGCCAACAGTGTTCATCATTGATCACTTTCAAAGTTAAATTCAACAGTTTTCATTCACTGTTCGTGAGTATGAATTTGTGTTTTTATAGTTTTAGTAGTCCTGAATCAGACAATAATTATTGTGTATTCATACTCTTACTTAAGGAGTGAGTACACTGTTTTACTTTATGGTTGTGGAACGTGGTATTTGAAAGTAGACTTTATTCGTGAGTTATTAGTATTTAATTACAAGTATCTTTGAACCGTTACTCACATTGGTGAGGAAATATCGAATGAGCTTAGATCAGTTAACATAGATAGCAAATCAGTTAATAAAGCTTTGAATCGATTTTTATATTGATGAACTAATCAACTTCTATCGACATGTATTCTCGTAATAGACACCTCTATAATATCTATGTACTATCTCTCCATTGGTCAACAGGATAAATTAACCAAAATGCCTAGATTTATTCATTTCATTTAAAATGTTAAAAACATGGATAGGGTGAAATTTAAAGCTGTTGGGTAGTTTAGCGATTCGAAAAAAGCTCAACGCTTGTGATTATAATGAGAATTATAAATTGTTGCACATAATCTCTACGTAATAAAGTCGAACAATTAAAGGGCATATGGTCTTAGAATGTATACAGTAAAATTAAACTACGCACACTCAATTATACAAACTGAACTAAAATTTCTTTATTTATTGGTAGTATCAGAAAGGTTTTGTATAATTAATGAATAGCTTTTACTAGTAATTGACATTAATAAGCCATTCAAAAGTATTTACCACAAAACAGTTATTTTATCACTTCCTAGTTCAAGTTTAGTTTTTTACAAGTGGTTTGAACAAAAATTTGTTTTAATTATATATAGTGAAATGATAAGGCATGCTCATATAAATTCGTTATTGACCTTGTTCGTATTGTCTTTTTGTTGGTTAAATCGTAGCAGAAATGCAATTGGGGTAGTTTGTCTTAAAGTGATGAAATCATATCACATTCTCACCATTTTATCATCGCGTCCAGTGCTGGTTTCCATTTCTTTTGTAATTACTTAAGTTGCTTAAGCCTGTTACTCATGTCACTATAAGGTAATCATGTATTTAAGTGACTTAGTTTTAAAATAGTTAAATAACGACATCTTAACCTTTTAAAATCTAAGCCACTATATTACATTGTTTGACGTTGAAAAAAACTAGTTGTACTGTGCTTTCGGATATTAACACTAGCTCTCACACAAACTCTGACTTAAAGCCAAGTATATACGTGTCAACCATGTGTACCTGTTGTGACTGGCAGATTCAATTTAAATAGGTAAATGAAGTCCAGTGAGAAGTTAACTATGTAATTCTTCCAGGACTCCGTCTGTAGCCCTTCTGGGGTTACTGTCGGTCCCAATCCCGGATAGAAGTGGGGGATAGAGCATGTAGTCAGCAACCCTATCCCGTAGAAAACAGCTTTGTTAAAAAAGGCTAGTCAGAATAAATCATCAAAACCATTTAAACTGTCTTGGAAGTTAAAGTACCTTATTTAGAAGAATTATGACATCTAATGGTGAAAGTGGAACTTCATCGAAAGTAACGAGGCCGATGCCCCTTTTAATAACCAGAGCAACAATTAATATAGATACATGAAATGTCCGGGCATTATAGGAGACCGGAGGACCCGTCATATAACTACGGAAACGAGATATAACATGGCATACACAAAGCTACATGGGTCTCACCGGATCGCACTACAGAGAACCAGATCGATCATATTTGCATCAGTAAAAAATTCAGAAGGTCAATGTAAGACGTGAGAACCAAACGTGAAGCTAACATAGCTTCTGATCACTACCTGGTGGTTGCCAAGATGAAACTGAAGCTAGAGAAACACTGAAAAACTCACCGAATTCTAGATATTTCTCAGCAATAATTTCCAAGCCTTACGAGATCTATTCATTCAAAGAAGAAACTACTGTGGATAACAATTGGAAAGGGATCGAAGAATCACTAACTTCAGTGAGCCGGGTGGTGCTGGAACAATAAATACAGAAGCACCATCATGAAGAATGGATCTCTACCGATACTTTGGGCAAGATTTAACAATGGAAAGAATGATAGCAATTAAAAGCAGCCAAACAAGAGCAGAGAAATTCAATGCACAGAATCAAACATGAGAATGAAGAGGAGCATTAGAGCCAAAAAGCAGAAATATGTGGATGACCAAGCAGTGACAGCGGGAAACTCTGCAAGCGAGGGAAATATCCAACAACTATATGATAGAACGAAAAAAGCTGGCAAGGGAATACAGTAAATCAACAAGCAGAAGGGAAGAAGCAAAATCCTAAAATACAACCCAGAAATCTATAGTCCAATCACGCTTGATCGAGAAGCTCTAGAAGAAGTGGAAATTTTTACGTACCTGAGCAGCATCATCGATAAACAAGGAATATATGATGCATATGTAAAGTCGCGGATTACCAAAGCGATGGCAGCATTCCTACAAGTAAATAATATAAGGAACTCAAAAGAGTTGTCAGCCAACATCAAAACCAGAATTTTCAGTACGAACATCAAGACGATTCTATAGTACTGAGCTGAAACGTAGAGGACCACAGCCATCATCAAAAAAGTGCAGGTATTTATAAACGATCGTCTACTCAAGATACTTCAGACCTGTTGGCCGAATACTATCACTAACAGTCTACTGTGGTAGAAATTAAACTAGGCTCCAGCTGAAGAGGAAACAACACTAAAAGTTGATAGGTCACACTTCATGGAAATCATCAAACTGCGTCATGACACGAGGTGATCTCTAACTTGGAATTCTTAAGGGAACAGGAAAACTGAGTAACACATTGTGTCGGGAATTGAAGGCAGACGTCGAAAGAATGCGTATCAATTGAAAACAGCTGAGAGGGAGAGCCTAGAACAGAGTTGGTTGGAGCATCCTGGTCGGTGGCCTATGCTCTCGCGAGGGTTAACAGTCGTAAGTTCAAAACTACATTCTAGCAAATAGATCATGTTAGCCGTTTGCCGGTTCTTGATACCAAATTCATACTTAGAGATGTATATTGTTTGGCTTGGTAATTCATCATTATCCACCATATATTTCACCCAGATATGTCATGTTGTTATCAGCCATTGTTGGATAGGGTCGGTAACGGGCTAAAGCTCATATCCGTGCTTTTATGTTGTTGTTGAAGTATTACAAGTTTTTTATGATGTTGAAAGAAAAATCGCGAGTATGCAAAGTGTTGGCATAACTCAATCCTCATACAAAAATAAACATTACATTTTGATCTAAAAATGTAATTTGTATTAGTATTCTTATGAAATTATTCTAGTTGTATAGTAGCATAGTTTGCAATGCTGCCTTATTATATATATTGGAATATATTGCATAAACAATTTCCCACATTTTTTTTAAAATTAAGGCTTCTGTTAATGTTCATTTACGCTTTGGATGGGCATGGCGCCGTAAAATATGCCCAGATGATACAATTTTAAATATAACGCCAAATCCAATTCGAATAAATTGTTACAGTCATTCAACTGGCTACACTTCCCTAGTTAACTCACCACCTACTTCTAATAATGATAATATTATTACTGCTACTACAAATACGACCCATACCGCTTGTCGTTTCTCTTTAACCGATCTAATTAATCAAGTTAAATGGAATACATCTAGTGGTCGTTTAACATCTGCTCAATTGGAGTTACATGTTTCCGCCACTGAACGACGTTGGTTAAAACGTCCCGATTTAAGTCATGGAGCAGTTAGTTTGAATGGAATTACTCCAAACATTTCAAACAACTTAACAAATCATATTGTTAATCATATAAACCATAACAATAATAGTAATAATAACCTATCCCAAAATTTGTCTAAAAGTGTTCATACTGATGGGAAAAACAACAATAGCCATGTAACATTTATCAATGGTAATCCATTGCGTAAAGGTGGTTTAAGTTCAAATTCCTATCCAGTTCAATATGCTACAGCTCCATTACCTTTGATCGTATCTTCAATTGGTTTCGGTAAGTTACTAAAACTAATTTTATTATGTCAAATCATCTCGTTATATTTTAATTTTAATTTATAATAATACAAAGTTTCTTGCTACGTTTAGGTTTTTTTACTCTAATGTTTTACTTGTCATTCTTTCAATGCTTTATATTTCTCAATATAATTGATACTACATTATTTCAACTCGTTTACTATTCATTTTGTTAACATCATCTCATTGTGCTAATGTGATATGACAATTTTGGCCAACATATATATGAATTCATTATATTAAGGAAAGAATCGTATTTCTCACCGCTCTGTTGCTGTTGCACTAATATAAAGCTTTTTTGTCCTATGCTATCTTATCACTAACAGAGATCGGACTAAGTTTTAAAGAGAATACAGTATTGTGAAACTAGTAAACTACTGTGTTCATACGGTAAGCTACTCTTTCGTAAATCCAATTTCGATACAGTAAAAAACACTACTTCTATCCTCTTCTATGTCTCCGCTTATTAGAGTCAGAAGTCTAGTTCTGTGTAGAAGTTTTGTTGATATGATCCCTCAGATGAATCAAAAATACACTTAACCAATTACACGTTATTACTATATAATAAGACTAATAAGTCTTATCTGTGCATTTGTTAATTAGGGTAATCCAAATAGGTTATTGAGTGTTGTTAGTCTTATACCTAACATTTTTATTTCTCAGTAAATTGGTAACATCTTTAGTTTATTCTCAAGTGGTCGTTTTGTCTGTCGAAGAAAAGTAATTACGAACTATAAAAACAGCGGGTTGGGGTGAATGATTAGAACTTTTGGATATTAAGCTCCAACTTAAGAAAATGATGAATGGACGCGTCTATGTCAATGCCACTGGTTTCAAGTAGTGTAACCTCAAGTATGCAATCATTGATTGTGATTATTTCACGAAACCTAAATATAAATCCAATGATTCATGGGACTGTGCGATGCAGTAGATGGTAGCTTCATAAGCTGACGGCTTGATATCTTGCTCCGGGGTTACATATGGTAGGTGTTATGTCCTTCAACCACTACAAGACTCAACTGTATCTACTTACCTGACCTCGCATATTTGGTATTACAACTGTGAATCATACTGTTTGTATATTTGAGTGTTTAGTTTTCAATTCTCGTGTACTTCACAAGAGTGAAATTTTAAAATAGCATTAAGTTTGGAAACGAAATATATATTCTCCTGTCGGATTTTGATTGACAATCTCATATTCCCTATCCGATCAAGTTGCTTAGGGAAACGTAGAAAGATCGCAACAGTTTAATTATTGAGTACGGTTCTTGTGATCTCAATTTAGAAATAAACAAGTTCTTCAGGTAGCTTTTACACTCTGAATTAATTTTGACTGATTTATGAGCTATATTAATCAGTGGTCATCATTCTCAGTCGGTTTGCAGTTGATATTCAACTCGTTATTGTTGGTTCTTGAGATGAGACAGTGCTATTGCATACTGATTATTGACGTGAATATTGAAATAGAGCCTGATAAGAACCCAATAATTAATGTTAATTGTTCTTTTGCAGACGCACATTCTCGCTGCTAAAAAGCCTTATTGACGAGTTCCAGCTAACATCAAAACCCCTAGGTCCAGTGCTCATTGTCGCGATTCCCTACAACCCCTCAACACTGAACGAAGCTCACCACGATTTCGAGTTTTCTTCAGACTAGTAACTATTGCCACTTGATCTGTAGAACTCAGCAATTAGGACTGAATTAAATGAGACTTCGTTATTATTGTGTTATTAATCATTATGTAAATCTTTCTTACAAGAGGTCAGTCGCAGCTCGGATATCACCTGGTGGTGACATTTGTCTGTAGCATGTGTTGGAAGCCTACGGGTAACAGTCTCTGAGACTACAGATAGGGCTTGTTAATAAGTCATGACCAACCTGAAATCTCCAGGTTCAGGGCTTCCTGTAGCTCATATCTTATCATCTAATGCTTGAATTTATTTTTTTCAACTCATTTACCAGATAGAGAATTGTACACTTGGCTTCGAGCCACACTAAATATGAAGGCTAGTGATGCTACCCGGTTACCCAGATCGGAGTAGGCGGGACGGGGTTCAAACATGCGACCACTGAGCCACCTCTCCACACACTTTGATATTACGTAGATATTTAAGAACCGGTCAGTCACCTAGATTTTCTAAAATATATGTAAATACAGATGGGTGTAACGATGCTAAATCAGGCTTGAAACATGTTCTGACTGTATAACCTGCAGAGTTCAACACTATGTTGCTTACAGTTTCGTGTTGATATTCGTTTACCCCCGCTTCGTTGTTTATATAATGAAACAATAATTAATATTTTTATATCCATCTATTATAGTAGATTTTAATTTGTTTTCATTTCTGTGTTTCGAAAAAAATGGTATAGACAGTACCAGTACCGGTCGTCAACTGCTTCTGACTCCTGGTTTATATGAATTACGCCTTGGTGTAGACACGTCCGACGGCAATGGTAGTAGTGGTGGAGTGATGAATAAAGTTGTGCCATTAAAATGTTTAGATGACAATGTAAGTGAAAAGTCATATGTTTCGGCTAACAACGACCAAGCAAGTGACACGTGCTCTAGTCAAGTTGAATGGAGGCGCATTCGGTTTCCTAATTCTTCCACGGCACTAGACGAGTATTCTCGATGGCCTCGTCTTCGGTTTTCTGTCATATGGCATAATAAATTGGAAAATAATCAGATCATCTCACCTTGTAGATCGATGGAAACTCGAAGACAAGATAATACCCATGTACATATGGAGGGTCGATCCTCTCTTACACGTTCCATGACAAGTTCTCATAATCGAGATGTAATCAAGTCTCAAAATCAGTCTGCCACACCGCATAAACAAATAGTTTTGAAGGAGTCTTGCGATTCTTCTGTATTCAAAGATTCAACCGGTTTAGATAAATGTCTCTCTAATCGTGTACAACAAAGTCTCTCTGCTCATTTCGGACCAGACGTTGATAAGCCCACGTCTACGAAGACGCCACACTTAATTCATCCAATCACATACGGTTTTGTATTCGGGGGTAATTTACAACAATGGTCTCAGTCCACTGATCTTGTTTGCCCATGGTGCCACTTAGATTGTGCTCGTGCTGGTGATAAAGGTCCTGAAGCCTTGATTCTTCATCTTCGAACTTGTCATCCAAGATTTCGTCTCAAGGTTATATGGGATCCATCACATACACAGTTAAGCCTACAAGTTTCATTAAATGAAGCATATGACGGTTCAAATGATTGTGGTATACGTAGATGGTGTCCGAGCGGTCGGAATATTTTCGTTTTACGACATCATGTCATTCCATCATCTGGTAGTTGTGCTGCCCTAGGTATAAATAGTAATGCCAAACAGTCAGGTAATCAAGGTCGTCATTCTATTTCTCCAACTCTGATTGATGCCACTGTTCGAATTCGTTGTCCTGTTCGACGATTGCCGTACACACATTTGATATTTTGGCGTGGTGCTGAATTATCAACTGATCAGGTCAGTAATGGGTCTTTCTGCATAATTTTATTATTTTTCTATAGATTCCTTTGAAACTATGTTGATAGTGCATGAAAAATAGACTTATTATTATTATTATTATTATTATTATTATTATTGATTTCTCTGAAAAAATATGTGTATTAATCCAGCTGTGCTACTAAAACCAAACATTAGTCGACGAAATAACCTGTTACTAATTGGGCTATCAAATGAGTAGTAGTATTGTATTCCTATGCTCTTCTCACAAAAATTTAAATAGCAGATTTGTGTGAATCCAAGTGATGTACAGCTAACTCAGAAGTCCACCACAATCAATTAGTCATGTGCAACTTAGAACCTAATACTTATGTGCATCGGTTTAAGTTGTAATACCACATAAGCACAATGAGATAAAATTATCGAGACTTACTTCAGAGCAGTAGAATTAGAAACAGTATCAGTAGTCGTAGAAAATATTAGGTGCAGAAAAATAAAAAAATAAAGTATAGGGAGATTTCGGGAAGCAGGTTTTGAGGGAAGATAAAGTGAATGCACCTGCTTTATTGCAAACAGTTCTTAGCCATATCACCCGAAGTCTATAGCCATTAATTACGATAATTAGACCGATTCCAATTAGGTTGTTTGCACTTATTAACATGCCTCAGACCAGTTATCAGTGACTTCACAAACTGGTGCCACGTCTTGGTTTGGACTCCCCTATCTTTGATCCAGCCTACTCTTAAATCAGCAAACATCTCGCATTAAGGTAGGTGTTAATTAAAAATACGCAATGCATGTCCCAACTACCTCAGTTTATAACTTACCACATCAATCCATTCGCCATTTTTTTCGTTGTACTATATGCCTAACCTCAATATTTCTAACTCATAGGTCCCAAAGTACGCTAGCGATGCTTTGTAGGCATCTAAGATTAGACACTAGTAACCTATGAATATCCTCTATTCTTATTGGTCGTGCCTCATAACCATAAAGTAGGACTACTGTGTAGTAACTTTGTCATGTGATTGGCAGATGATTATCTCGCTCACATCAAAAGTAACTTTATTTGGTCAAAGGCGACCAATATTTTTCAATCCACGCCGAGATTTCCCCAGACACTATCCCATCAGGGGTGAGAGACTACCACGATAAGTGAAGCGGTCGGCTCACTCAACCACTTCACTCCCTGTCATTAGCTTAGATTTTGATGCAGTTGAGTCCTGAAACATTTTGAGTTTAGAGGTAGAGAATCACATCTCAAACATGCTTACACTTTTGCTTAAGACTATTAGAAGACCCTACATTTAATCAGCTCTTCTCCAAATACGACTATCATCTGCATATTTTAAGTTAAGAAGTGAGCATCCGGTAAGGAGATCAACCGCTGGAGAGCTAAATATGGGAAGTATTATTTCTAGGAGAACATCTACAACGAAGTTTAATGAAGATGGAGAAATTAGGTAGCCCTAACGAACGCTACGAGGTTGAAAATTCTGTTAACAGTTCACCATAACCTCTGACTCCACTGAGAATGTTCAAGTAGAAAGCCTGTACAAAGTTTATATACTCATTTGGTACGCTTCTTAATGACAGACGCTAACACAGAATCTCTCAATCAACAGGGTTGGATGCTGCCTTAAGGTTAAAAAATACAATAATAGTCAAACTTCAAGAAGTACGTTCATGTTCCAGAGTCTAACTAAGGGCGAACATTAGGCTGATGCATCCACACCGAGGTTAGAAACTGGCCTGATTTTCTCATCTGAGCGTAATTGCAACAGACGGTCGCCATTGTGTTCACCGAGCTGCAACTCCGTAAGATATACAGAAGTACCTTTCGGCTTGGTTTACTCTACATTCTTGGGCATTATAACCACCAGACACTATTACATCCGAGAGTTTAACTTTTCCGAAAGAGGTTTGAAAGCTTCATATAAAACTCATATTACGCTTTATTCCAGCCTCAATTAGTGGAAGCGTAGATAGAGATAACGAATAGGCAACGGCGTCTGTCTCGATCTCTCCGAGTCCTTACAGTTCCGTTTAATCTGACTGTACAAGCAACTGTCCACTGGAATGCGTGATGATAAAGATATGCGCAAACGGTTAGTCGTGGGATAGGAGAATCAATACTAGGTGATGAAGGGATTTGATCGTGACCGTTGTTGCTACCTTGACGTGGTGGTCGGGCTTGCCTATCGTGATGAAGCAATCGAGCTATACTGGCTGGAACAACTGTTCCTCAAGGTCCTACCATGTCAGACAGGTCGGCTGAAGAGCGGTAAGACTAAAAGCAACAAACCCAAGGTCCGAAGGCGAAGTCGTACTGCTGACTGTACAGAGGTGTGACAGCAGTAAGGTGTTTCCTTCAGACAACCAGCATAACAGCGATGCTGCCTTCCCACAAGAAGGGATGGGGTTAGAAAAGGTCGACTCTAAAAATGCACACCTCGCCTTATCCCACGGATATCCGTCTCCGGCGGTAAGGTCCCAAAAAGTACGGAGCTAACACAAAAATTACCCATAAAAAGGTTGTGTGTGACCGACCTCAAGCAGTTGTTCCTTGTGCACTGCGGTCACGCTCTCAGGTCACTAAGACCACCTCTAATCCAATTTCCTTTTCAGGTACCTCCAGAACAACCCTTCCACGGTGTGGACAACCGGAAAGTGATAACCTCTAACAGCACTCAAGACCACTGTATTCCTAATCAACCTCCGTCTTCACTTCCTATTACTCCTCCTACATCGACTTTCACCTCTAAACTTCCTCTTTCGGCTTTCTCCTCAAATGTCACCATAGCCAACGATTCTAGTGCTCAAAACACTGTCCCAGGTCTACTGAAACCTTGCTCCAAACTACACACTGGAGCCTTCAACGTACGCACCCTATGTCAAATCGGTCAACAGGCTTCCTTGGTTAGAACCCTAGAATCTCGTACCATTGATGTATGCTGTGTCTCTGAAACACGCATACAGGATCCCAGTGTGGTCATTCACTTGACCTCACCTCGGCAACACGGAGAGCCAACGAGATACACACTCCGTGTATCTGGTGACGCGATGGCCAGCCCTCGTGGACTGGCAGGAGTAGGGATAGTACTAAGCATGAGGGTGGAACAAGCACTGTTAGAGTGGATCCCCGTTAATAGTCGTTTATGTGCTGTTCGGCTAAACGGCTCCGTAAGAACTCGGAAGGATAGGGACACACGTCGTTGCCTTTTTGTCGTTTCTGCCTACGCTCCCACCGACTGCAGCTCAGATGAAGTGAAAGATGAATTTTACAGAAAGCTATCTGAACTTCTTCAGAAAGCTAAACGTTCAGACATAGTACTCGTAGCAGGTGACTTTAATGCCCAGATAGGTAGTTTAAACCAAACAGAAAGGCATTTAGGTGGGTATTTTAGTATTCCGGCACAACAAGCAGATAATGGTGATCGTCTGCTGCAACTGTGTTCAGACAATCGTTTATTTTTAGCAAACACAAATTTTAAGCATAAGGAGAGACATCGTCTAACATGGCGACCTCCTGCACCAAACCAATGATGGACTCAAATAGACCATATTGCCATCGGTCATCGTTGGAGAGGGTCGGTAGAAGATTGTCGCTCATTCTGGAGTACCTGCTTGGACTCCGACCATGCTCTAATACGGGCACGCATCTGCTTGCGCCTCATTGGACTCAAAAAAGCCAAAGTAAAATGACCCATAAGAACTGAATTGAGTAGCGAGAAAACCAAAAGTAGGTCCCAGGAACAACTGAGGTCACACCTAGGTAGTTCTGAGAACGAGGCTGACCCAGATGTTGCTTGGAAAGATATACAAGCAGCTGTGGAAACAGCAGTGACATCTATCAGTGATTTAGACCACAGGGTTACAAAGAACCAATGGATTTCCTCTAGGTCTATTGCACTGATGGATTCTCGTAAACTCACCCAATCAGGCTCTGAACACGATGAAGAGCAACAACAAATCAGATCTAGGTTAAGAAAAAGTCTAAGAAACGACGGTGAGCAGTGGTGTGCAACGAAAGCAAAAGAGATGGAAAAGGCGGCGACTATAGGGAACACAAGACAGCTCTACAGACTAATAAAAGAAACTGGAACTACGAAGTCGAGTGTAAGTCAGACTATTTCGGAAAAAGACGACACCCTCATCTGCTCTCAGTCCAGACGTTTAGAACGATGGGCGGAACATTTCAGAGAACAGTTCAGCTGGCCCTCAGCTACTCTACAACTACCCTCTATTCCCAGACAGTGTGAATGGAACATTGAAGTAAGTCCCCCAACTCTAGCTGAAGTTCAAAAGGCTATAGTTAATCTGAAACGAGGAAGAGCAGTTGGTCCAGATGGATTGGCTCTAAAGGTCTTTAAGGATGGTGGTCCAATTTTAGCGATTAGGTTGACTAATATTTTAGCTAAGATCTGGGAGTTAGACGTTATTCCATCTAACTGGTCACAATCACTTATCGTCCCAATATATAAGAGGGGGTCAAAATCATCCTGTGACAACCATAGAGGGATCAGTTTAACTAATATAGTATCTAAAATATTGGCCTCGATAATTATCAGACGCTTAACTAAGACTCGTGAACTGCAAACACGAGAGAATCAAGCTGGCTTTAGACCTGGTCGTGGCTGCATCGACCACATACTCACCATTCATCAGGTTCTAGAACATAGGCATACTTATCGGCGTCCGACAATCGTGGTCTTTCTTGACTTGAAAGCAGCATTTGACTCGGTAGACCGCGAGATTCTGTGGCAGTGTCTGTCATTGAAAGGCGTACCTCAGAAGTACATAAACCTTGTAAAGGCTCTTTACTTGAACACAACCAATCGAGTCAGAGCTTATGGCGAACTGTCATCTGCTTTTTCAACCTCAAGTGGTGTCCAACAAGGCTGTCCACTTTCTCCATTTTTGTTTAACTTCATCATAGACTTATTGATGGAAATAACATTCTCGTCTGCTGAATTCTTGGGTATTGATCTCCTTCCATGAGGTCCACTTATCGACTTAGAATACGCGGATGACATAGTCCTGTTTGATGAAGACGCTGATAGAATGCAGAGTCTTTTGGTAGCACTGAACAACAATGCCAGTATTTTTCGAATGCGCCTCTCTCCCTCTAAATGCTTCAGGACTGGTCTGCGTCAACACCTGAACTAAGAATAGGGAGTGAAGCAGTCGAACGTGTTGACAACTTCACTTATCTTGGAAGTCTGATCAGCCCTAATGGGTTGGTGTCTAACGAAATCTCAGTACGGATTCGAAAAGCTCGCTTGGCCTTTGCCAACTTACGTCACCTATGGCGAAGGCGAGATATCCGTCTATCAATAAAAGGACGGGTATACTGCGCGGCAGTCCGTTCTGTGTTAATTTACGGCAGCGAAACATGGCCATTAAGAGTAGAAGACACCCGTAAGCTACTAGGTATTTGACCACAGATGCCTTAGAAATATTACTGGCGTCTGTTGGGATCACCGGGTAAGTAATAGTGAGGTTAGACGCAGGGTATTAGGTAATGATGGTAAATCAGTTGATAAGGTTGTTAATCTTCATTGACTGAGATGGTTGGGCCACGTGTTACGTATGCCTGAACACCGATTACCACGACGTACAATGCTAACCGGCGTTTGGGATGGTTGGAAGAAAGTTAGAGGCGGCCAAACCAAAACGCGGCATCAGTGCTTGAAGTCACTAACTTCTAGCCTGAGCCATGTTGGTAGATGCAGACTACTTGGTTGGGGTCCGCGTGACTGTCGTAACGAATGGTTGGAGACTGTGTGTGACATGGCTCAGAATCGATCACAATGGCGTCGGTGTATACACTCTCTATCTTCCCTTAAACTAAGAGATTAAAATTGCTTCATATCTTTCTTTCTACGAACTAATTCTTTCTTCCTGTACTATATCCTTATTGCAATCTTTCTTTTATATATTACCACCTCTGAATTAACTACTTTTATGAATCCGGTGTCCATCTTGTTGTGTTAATGAGGTATGGCAACTTGGACCGATGCATAAATGTGCGTGGTCCTACGCTGTAGTTGACTGACTAATCTCTGGCTCTGTTAGAGGTGTGGGAGCGGTTGTGACTTCGTGACTGCTCACACCGCGGAAGGATGTTTCTTCTTGAGAGATCTGAAGAAAAAGCTGGGTTATTGGTGGTCTTAGTGGCCTGGGAGCATTATCACATAGCCCAAGAGAAAAATGTTTGAGATCGGCCGTCCATGGTCTCTTTATGGGAGGTTTTTGATTTATTAGCTCCGTACTTCAAAAGCCTTTACTATCCGAGACAGAAATCCGTGGGGTAAGATGACGTGTGACATATCAGGGTCAATCTTTTCTAGCCTCTTTTTTCCTTTGTGAGAAGACAGCATCGCTGCAGATGCTAGTTTTTAGAGGAAAACACCTTGCTGCCGTCACACCCTTCTACACTCAGTAGTACAATTTCACATTAGGTTAGTGCTTCAATATTCACCGTTCCTCAACCAACCTACCTGTCATGATTGGACCTCGAGAAAGAATTGTTTCAGATAATATAGTTTGATTGGGACTTCGCGATGAGCAAACCCAGCCACCACGTCAAGGTAGGAGCTACAGTCGGGAATCATAGATATTAAATATATTTTATAACTTTCTCCGAGTGAACTTTAGTGTTCGTCACTACTGTTAAATGACTCTCAATTTAAACTATGAATGCACACTCATGTATTCAGCTTCATGTTCGGTTTATGTGTACTTTTTAGTTTCGGTTCTCTCGTGTTCCAAGTCCAGGGTTTCTTAGCTCACAGAAGGCAAGGCAGTTGAGCAACGTTGACAGATGCCTTCCCACGGTGACCAAGAATATGTCCATACGCCCTTTGTTCCCTCAGGATCCTGGAACCCATGTGCACATTTGGTGTGGAAACAGGGTTTTCCGACTCTCCTTTGTGGACCCTCCGTATCCACCAACCCGAATAAAGCACTGGACATTTACGTTTCATCCTCTCAACTTCGTAAACAACACCCGCCACAAAGTAGCAGTGAGTAGGACTTCACTGGTAGTGGCTGTATTCTCATGTCTATGTGAGAGGATTTTGAGAGGGAGAGCTGACTCCCCTTTCTTAGTATTTGAGAGCAACCTGTTATCCTACATAAAATGTCATTGTCTTCATGTAATTGATTATCGGTGTGTCGTACTGATACCCTCATAACTTAAAAAAGTTAGCGACTATATATCTGGGCTCATTAGTAGGTTACTGAATCACCACAGGCACTGGTTTTGAGTTTCAGTGTGAACATCTACACGGATCTATGTGAATAGAGCTGATGAGCCCCACGTAAGATGAAACCTGCACTCTGGATTCCATTATTAGCTAAATCCATACTAAATATACTAAAGCTCTTAATAAGAACAAATCCCGACAGGCTGGCCAATCGCAGTCCCCAAATACCAAAACATCGCGAAATTATTGATCCGTACCAAAAAATTCTCGTGTCAACACCGATTACATCAACATATTTCTTATTTATATTGTTTTAATCAGGCCAATTTCCATAAAGTTTATTATTCTGTTACTGTCTAAAACAATACCTGTGCTATTTCTCGTTTTTTAGTGTTCCTAATTTAATGTTTTTTCTTTGTTTTTCGCTTGCTCATTCCCGTACACACACGTGTGTGTACCTAGTTACTTGATCCTACATTATCGGTACGACCTATGGTCACTGGACATAATCGTATTTATTATCATACACGTACATCCCAGCCTGTTCGTGCTTGTGAATTTGATGTGGACTCTGAAGCGGAAGATGCTCCAGTCTGGCTTCGTCAACATTATCAACGTAAAGTGGAAGAGTTCACCGATGTGAATCCGGTCAGTGTTTTTTCTCACTTCCTTTCTATGTACTTTCAAAGCGTTTTCTGCCTAATACCATCGTAATAAATCTATATTAGACAGAAAATGAGGTGACACGCTGCTATTGTTAAGCCATTCTGGACTGTTGATATTATTTTTTTTGTATAGCTTGGTATGAATTTATGACTACCTTGTCACAATAATTGTTCTATTGTCTCCCTGTCTGTATAGAATTTGAGATAACTGTAATATAAGTACAAAGCAGTAACAAATTTTCACGCCAAGAATTTTATTATTTTAGCACAGTGTGTGTTGTTGTGATGCAAATGAATCTAATGTGTATTTGATACATTTTAATTGTGGTTAAATGCGTCATCATATTTCAGAACTGGATAACAACAGCGCCTATTTCATTTAAAAGTGAGCTCAGTTATTCCACAACTATTAAATCGATTGGCTCTGATGCATTTGGTTGTCTTCATTTTTCCTGTTATTTGAGTTGACTATCTTGTTCACTTAATCTGTCACCATATGTTTGATCAATGCTTCAGATTCAGATACAGGGATTCAAAGTAGCAGTTAAGCGAAGCTATGTTATCACTGATATCAGTGCACGTAGACAATCACATATGAATTCAATTGGGCTAACTTCAGAATTGTGGACCAAGAGATTTCTAAGGCCAGTTTATTTCTAAAAGTATGATATTCATATCAACTGACTTATGTAATCATTCTGTCAATCTTTTTGAAAAGGATTGACCAAGTACACATGGTTAGTGATCAGCTGATTGAGGCAGTCAATTTGATTACAATGGTAAATGATGGCTACGAACACACACAAATCTCAAACAAGAATATCAAAACCAACTACTTTAAACGTTATGAAATAACTGAGAAGCTCACTTTTATATGAGTGGCAGCAAAAAACTGCAATTTAAACCATCTCATTCAGCTAACTCAACAACACTAAAATTGTTCACTTGAACTGTATATAGTCACTATCATTTCGATATTGTCTGTTAGTGATAGTGATATAAATTGTTCGATGAATTATTATTTGTTTATATCCTAGTTCTAAATCGTTTATGCAAAAACTATTGCTGGATATTCAAGCCATAATTTGATGAACCCTTTCAAAATATTGAAATTGTAAATTGATTTAAGAAAAACTTGTGTGAATTTTTCTTATCCAAATCTCATTGTTAGTTAAATGTGGAATTCTTCATTCCACTCTTATATTGTTTATTTATTTATTTATTTATTCAGGGTGAAAAACAAATTATGCAATTGTGGAATGCTTTACTACTATCAATTCGTCCATCCGGTTTAGTAGTTTGTGACAGTCAAGTATTAACATTAGTCTGTCAATTTATACATCAGCATAGTCGATGGATTCATAGACGACGTCTACGTACTAATCTATTGTTACATTTAGTGAATCTTGTTGATTATGGCTTATTATCATCTAGTCAATTGCGTCAATTAATGTTAATTCATGATAAACATGTACAAGAATTAAATCCAATCAACAATACATCAGTGATTAATAATCACATGATTAATACACAACCATTATCATCTCCATCGAACGCTTCAACAACATCTTTCGTACCCGACTCTAAATTAGTTAATCATATTAATAAGTCACAACCAATTATGCCACGTCTTCTTCAGATGTTCTCTTCAACATCTAGTTCATAGTGCAAAAAAATTCAATGCTGCTTACACTCTTGTTTCCCAATTTGTATACTCCTCCCCTCTATGTATGTATGTATGTGTCCGTGACGTTAATACTTAGAATAGTTCGAGAGACGGATGTGTGTATGTATGTGAATCGATGCATTTTTTTATTTACAGATGTTTCCGTATAGGCCAAATAAATTGTTTTTTTGGATTTTTAATTTTCTTTTTTTTTACAATGAAATCACACAAAACAGTAATTATCTTTACACAATAAGTATGTCTATGTGTACGTTTCTTCTCTCCTTAGAATTATGCTCAATTTTTTCTCCACTTTTCATCTTTCCTGTGTGTTTTGTGTAGTTATTCAGTCGTGTAAAACCTCAACATCATTTTGATTGTTTTGTATTTTTACAAAAAAGAATTTCTAGATTTTACAAATTCCCAGGGTCTATATGTTTGTCTATAAACTTACGTACATACAACTATAAGTAATTATTAACGATAATGTGACCGTTTTAATTTTATAAGCTATTTGTATTTCTGTAGTGTATACAAGTGTTCCTTCCACTTCCCCTTCATTGTTGTTCATTTATTGAAGATCACTTTTTCCATTCAACAACTAACTATCCTCAGGGGACGTTCATCAGCTTGGTTCCTGGTAGTGTTTTTGGTTCTTTCTGCTCTTTCATTATAATATATATGTGTGTGCTTTCTATTCAATTATAATCTATCTTTTCTAGCCTGTTCGTGTGCATGTATACACATACGTTTGTGCCATGCATATTATTTCGTCAATTGTAATAACAAAACCCTAAAAGTCTGTGCCTTCTTCATATTGATGATGAATTTCTAAAAAAATGATGAAGAGCAGTCTCATATTATCATTATCACTAGTATTATTATTATTATTATTACTATTAATAGAATTATTCTTATTAAATTTTGTTTTCAAGAATACAAATGTACCATGTATGTATGTTTGTATAGGTATACAACAACTTTCTTGTATATTACAATTGTTTATCTGTTCAATTATGATTGTTTTCTACTCTCATGTATAATTCAACTGTGAGGTGAAATGTTTAATGTAAAGAAGATAAGCGTAAAAATAGTCAAGTTCAAAAGCTCATTTATATTGACAAGTGAAAGTAATGTAATTACTATTATTATAATTATTCTCTAGGTAGGATTTTTTATTGTCCATTTATGGTTATTATGACTACTATTATTTTTAATTTTTTTTAGTAAGGTATCTTCGTTTTTTTCCTGCTCTGAAATTATCAGAAGTGCAAAGTATAGTTTAATGAATGACTGACTTGTTTAGTCATATTTTTCTCCTGTCTAATTCAATGAACAATGTATATTATTATATCATCAAAAATATTTTTCTATTACTACTATTATGTAATAACCGGTCACTGTCCTCGTTGTTGTTGTTGTTTTCGCTGTTGTTATGATTAACTCAGGCTGGTTTGTGTTTCGCACATATTATGATTGATCTTATCACTTTTTCTACTTCTACTCGACAACTATTAGTTCAATTAAATTTTTTCCGACTTAACATGTAGCTATGATTTTCTCTCTGTGTGTGTATGTACGTTTTCCTTAGTATACAGGATGAGTTTATTTTTGTCTCGATTAGATTTTGGTCTCGAATCCCTTATTTTGGTTTGCTTATTTAGTTTGACTATTCCAGATGATGACGACGCGTTTCATTCTTTGTGTTTGTATGTGTGTATGTTTTAGGAATATTTATTTGTCTCCCTGTCCCTCCTCCCTCTACTTATGATTATAGGAGTTTTTTGTGGCGCATTGAATTGTGCGAACACTTATTCTTGTATGATTTGTTGATTAATTTTGTCCTATGTACTTAGGATTTATACATGTAATACGTATTAGCTTTAATTGTCATTTAAACAACTGATGAGTAAATTTTTCTACATACACATATATACTTAAATATTTGTTTACTGTAATGCCATCTTCATGTTTGTATGTGCTTTCTACATTCTATGCTCATTTCTTTCTTTTTCATACAATCATCTTTGTTTATCTATTCGCAGGAAATTGACTCCTGATCTTGTCCTATTTTACATTCTTCTGGCAGCTACCTGTTCTTTTGTGTGTTATGATACGACCATGTTTGCGCGTGCATACACACACGTACAACATTCTTTTGATATCTTTAAGACTAATGTTTCCTTTTTGAGATATTATCCCTCTATGTTTGCTTATCGAGAGAGTTTTGTATGTATCTGTGTATGTTTGTAATCGTTCCATCTCAATTACCCTTTACATTTTATACTTTTTTCAATATAGTAATAGTAACAATTTTTTGTAAAAGATGTTTCCATCTACTTTTTTATATCCAAACGTATATACATGTTTAGTTATTAAGAAGAGTGCTTGATGCACTGCATAGGCTTTTCCTATTTCAAAATAAAAATTTCTTCTAATTATTTATTCGCATTTGTTCTTGTCCATAGTTTTATGCTGTGATTGTTTTTGCCTCATGTTCGTACTGTTGTCATGTACGCTGTTGTTGTTTAATGATGATGATTTAACTTCTCTAACGTAGTAGTAGTCCTGTTTTCGCTTACCTTCTAAATATTTTTCTACGAAATACCATGTACTCACTAGTGACCAGCTTTAAAGGAAGCTCTATTGAGAAGCCGTGACTTAATGTAGTTCGACCATGTTCAATGTGAAAAGGTTACCCACCGACGACAGTGATAGATAGTCATGCAGTATCGCAGATTACTTGGAGTCATATTTATACACCTTCACTGTGCTAGAGATCTCGCTTTCTTGTACGAAACCGAATGTCTTGGTTCTGATCCCTGGCTGCGGGGTCGTGGGTGCACACTGATGAATTCCATACTAGAACTAAACGGTAGTCCAATACCACCAAGTTTTCAGTGATTGTCTAACACAGATCTATTCATAATGTCGATATAATAGTTGGGGTTTTCGAACAACTAACACTTCCATCTTTTGTGTCAGTTGCATTAAACAAACAATCTGCTCGTTGTAGATAAAAATGGACAATCTAGTGTTTTTGTATCATGATAGCTGAATAGATATATTTCAATCAATCGCAGATTTTGTGAAAGTACTTTAGTCCAAGCTAAGTTGAGTAAACTAAATAATTAAAATGTCAGTGATGAGAAGAATTTTACCCATTATCTTTCAATAGTACTTGAATGAATAAATAAAGTTACTTGTGTTTTTTTAATTGTAAGAATTTCTGTAAACTATGTCTTATCAACTGCTTGTCTATTGATGCATATGCAGAAGACTATTTTCTGAGAACTTTTAACGTAGTCTATTAAATATTAGGGCATTACTTCGAAATTTTAATGTTTTGTCGAATAGCACTTGTTGAAGTGAAAAATGTCATTTTAAAAGACATCAACTTGACTATAGACCACTAGATTTGAGAATCATTCCTAAATACTGTCGATTATAAATGAATTGTATTACGAACTCATTACTCTCGATCGTTGTGTATTCTACTGCTTCACTCTTATATATGGATACCCTATTTCATAAAACTAGTTACGTTAACGTTGATTATACAGCTGGTAAACTTAATCCTTTAAATCCATTCCCTCGTTTTATAGTTTGATATGATATTCACAGTTACTTTCCCATTCTGTATGTTGTGCGATTGTACATTAGAAAAATAAACTCAAAGCTGTATCCCTTCATAAATAAAGTTCTTGTTTAACTACTGATATTTTTTGCTGTTGTGTTCCAGTTTCTGAGATAAATATGACTAATCCAATGAACGATGAATCTATTTGGGATTCTGGTGAAGATGAGTCCGTAATAGATCCTGAGGTTCCCATTGGTATGTGTAGTTCCTACAGCTTAGATTTCAGCAGTGTGTCATTTAGTTTTATTTTCGTTTACCCAAGCCATTGGTTGTTTTTACACATTTGATTGTAAAAACGGTATTTATTTCTTATTCCTCTCACCTTAAGCTCGATACAGAATTCCGAAGTTATCATTATGTCCAAGCATATGTACATATGAATAAAGAATATAGTGTAGTTTTTGTTAGGCGATTTCAATTTTCCGGGCACTTCGACGAATCCCTTATTATTGTGTATAAAGTTTCATATTTATTGCTTATGGTTTGATGTCTTGTTGAAAAAAGTAAGGTGTGATATACCACATATTTTGACTTGATTACCGAAACAAGTATCTGTTCTCAGAATCTGTCCTACCCACTATTTATTTAGCCGTAATATCAACTCGGTTCGATCTAGTTCTATCCATTTTGTAGAAACTCATTGTTGGTATTTTAAAAATGAGCTATCTGGATGACCTTTTCCGTTATGTTGGCGGATGCAGACTATCTGGTTTAAATCCGCACACTAGATGTGATGAGTTGTTGAAAACGTATGATTTCACTCAATATCAGTCCCTGTCGCATTCACTTTTTACCTCCCATTAGATTCTTCAGTTCCAGTATATTCTTTCATACATACCCTTTCATCCTGTTTTTTCCAACTATACTTTCAATACTCAATTTTTCTCATTTTCATTTTTAGTACGATTATTTTGATCTCTTAAAATTCATCAAACCGTATCAATGCAGTATGACTACATATTTGTGTCAGACTGTACGTTGTTTATGAATAAGTTTTAAAAAGAAAACACTAATTCTCGAAATTGGCAACAAATATGTAGGCGTCCGTGCCATCGGTAAGGAATTGAAATAAACATTAACTTTACTCTCAGTTTTTAACTAAATATGGGCGTAAATCTTCAGAGGACAATTTTCGTTTTGTTGGCGATAAAGATTTGTTTATTACTGAAACTGCTCTTCTGTTAAACTCCGGAACGTGATTATTTAAGGTTATTTAGCATAGCATCAGTGAGATCTCACATAGCTTAACTGGATAGGTATCTTTTCTAAATTCTCTGTCAATGTCAAAAGTTAGAGTGCACGTATTCATATATTATTGTATTGTCCGATATCTCATTGGATAACAGCTCCCAGAAACCAAACGTTTAACAACTCAAAACTTTAAACTCCACAAAACTCAGACAAATCACTGAAAGAGTTTGAAATTAAGTAATAATTGCATGTTATGGCGCCTTGATAGGATGTTCTAACTGTACCCCACTTTCTTGATCCGGTTTTCAGTATAGTTTGGCTGAATCGTCTTCTTAAGCTCTCTTTCTAAGCTGGTTACTTGGTGAACGGAATATTTCTAGTTCTCTGACAAAATCACACTTATTTTAGTTTGACGCACACTACTTTCTTGTTTGTACCTAGGAGTTATTAGATCCATACCTAGTTGAACTTTTATCTGTTCAATATTTGTTTACAACTCTCTCTTAATTCAACTTGGCATCTAGCTGACAAATTGGTTCAAGATGAAGTAAACAAATCTGGACATGTGTAATATCCTCATATGTTTTAACATGCCTCTATTCGAAAGATCATATAAAAAGAAGAGTATATTAGAATGAACATAAATAGGAAGAAATTGTAGTAATAAGGTATTCATTTATCCACACAACTGTGTTAAGTTTGGTCTAGAACCACTGATATCTAGCTTTTTAATTGTTCTCTTTCTAAAGCTTGTTTATAGAAATTTATCGGACTTTTTTATAAAAGTTTGTTTCGAAAGTTTTCCCATATCCGTATGAGGATTGTAGAGATTGTTGAGTTTTAGATGGTGGTTGGAGGTAGTCAACAGGAAACCCTGGACCCGGGTTTCGTGCTACTTGGCACTCGTCAGCAAGGTGTACCTGTAATCTTGAGGGAACTGGTGCTCCCTGGCGGATCCGATCTCGTGTCACCCAACTTCACAGTCAGAGACGTTACCACGGGTCCAGGGTTTCCTGTTGACTACCTCCAACCACCATCTAAATCTCAATACATAGTGCCCGCAGTGTCGAGTCACCTAGACTAGTGGCCACATTGCAACATGATCGATAGCGTTCTATCTGCACTAATAAGGACTAGACAGGCATGACATTGATCACCACCCAGTGATCAGTCAATTGTGATTGTTGAGTTTTATTAGGATCACGAACTGATCGAAATTGGATAATCATTGAAAAACTAGAAGCACTGAGCGGCGGTTTCGTCCTAGTATGGGACCCACCAGTGCACAATCAGGACCTTCGGTTTCTCGAAATAGTAACCTCTAGACCAGTGATTCGGAGTTCAATGATGTACTAACCTGACTCCAATCAATCTGTGATACTGAGAAATTATCTTTTACTGTGTTCGGTGGATAACTTCCTCATATTCAAAACGATGTGTTTGTTTGGTATGTACAATACATGATTTTTATAAAAATTATGTGGTCAGACTATTGTTTGGACTACGTAATCGAGTTTTAAGTCCTTAAAAATTATTCACCAATATTTATTGCTCCTCTTGAAGCACATTCATATTCTCTTTTAGAAAAGTCCTGCTCAACGCCTTCGAACAATAAGGTGTTCTTAAAAATGTGAAAAGCTGAACAACTGTACTCTTTTATCTAGCAGCCGTAATATCAGCTACACAGTAGAACAGTATTAATGACTTCATTGTTTACTTGGCTCTGATCATATTTATTTTCGTTCTGTTTTCGTGGACTGATGCCACGTTTCGGTATAGTTGCTGATATTTTTCTTACAAAGTACTTCTACACGACGCTTAATGAGGTAGGCGGTAGTTCTGTGTGCATAACACATGTCTTAACTACTCCATTTAACGAAAACTCACACCGAGTAACATGTAGCGACCAAATAAAGGTCCACTAGTATTAATTTCCCGACTCCAGTTAATTTATGGTTCACCACTTCAACTAGATAATCGGTTGAAAACCGGAGTTCTTTGAAAAGCTGCTTAGTTTTAATATACGGGATTCCTGAACAATACTCATAGTTCCGCCGTAATTTGAATGGTGAGACCATAATTTATGGACGAACCAATCAGACTTAGGGTAACAGGTCTCGGGTTTTGGCGCGAAATTCCCTCATCCATTTGGCTTAATAACGTTTCGGCATTTTGGCTGATGTCAGTTCATGATGAAAACCCTAAATCCAATTTACAACCCTAATCGTCAACTGTAAATCATAATTCTAATTTCTCATACTGGTTTATATCGCCCATTTAGTCCTAGTTATTAGGTGAACACTCTTAAGGTCAGTTTAGCGTCAGTCAGAAATCGTCCATAAATTATAGTCAAACCATTTGAATTCACAGCATTTAGGCTTCACAGTCAGTTCAGTTCACTCATTTCTCATCTAGTGTTTTACATTAATAGCTTCAGTCGATGCTTGATTACCGTTGGCAACACCTTTGTTACTTCACCTACTACGGCTTCCATACTAAAACTTCGCGAATTATTCACAAAAACGGTCACTAGTCGGGATATGTACACTTACATCTACACAAATCTCCACCCTACTGATATTTCTTATTAAGATGTCAGATTTGTGAATCCCTTCACTTAAATTTAGTTGAAGCCCTAGAACAAACACGAAAATTTTTCATAGCTCTTACTAATTTACTTTACTCATACACCAGGTTAAATTTTGTTCTGCTCTTATCAAGAGATCAGGATGTTGTTCATTAGTCCACTTTGTCTCGCTTAGTGGTTGTGAAACAAAATTTTTAACGGTTACATGCATATATATATAGGTTGTTATTCAATCACAGATGACTTGAAAACATTATTTGCTTATTTTCAATTTACTAAATTTGTGTAATTCTGTGTTAAGATATAGAATACTGGATAAATACATATAGATTGGTTGATAAACCCTGTGGAAGTTTATCAACTAAGGCTGTTAGAACACGCCTTAGATGTACTTTTATACCTTTGTATGATGTATTAATTAACGTAGGTAGGGATTTGTAAAAGATCTTGGGATCCAATGTAGCAGATGTTCAGTAAGACATTGAATGCTTGTTTGAACAGTATAAAACAATTTGAATATTTTTGATTATGTTAAATAATTAGAACAATATTGAACAATATTTCCTGGTTTCATAGTTGTACTATCATCTGAAATTTCGGAGATAAATACTTTTAGAGGAAATTTATCCGGAAGGTAGAATTTTTCTCAGACCTGCGGCAAGTACTACTTAAAAGTCCAATTTCTGGGAAATCTCCCCAAATTTATATACTTGCATTACTTTTTTCACTTCTGTGTTTCCCACCTTGTTGCTGCATTATTTCGCTATACCAACCGACAATAGAATGTAACAGCTTGAACTAATACATATTTTTGTCATCTCATATGTTGTTTACGTGCATCTGTTACCTTGCTAGATCATTGTTACTACTTATTTAAGTTATATTCCTTGAGAAATTTTTCTCCTGAGAGTTTACTTGACTTGTGAATATTTTCTAGACAGGGTTACTTTTAGTTTTTTGTACATCCATCAAAATATCATTCGGTCACTAGTGCAAGTGTTTGCTTGATCATCATGATGTTTCTTTCATCTAACTTTCCATAACACATGTTATAATGACTACTCATCCATACTCTATTTTCAAGCTATATCTCTCAATTTAAGTTCATGAGTTTTATCAGTTGCCTCTTCCACCCAAACGTAGTTGGTGAAGCTGGTAGGCTATTTTGAACAAGATTGTATCAGTTAATATTTCTTTCACCTTAGTACTTCTGAAAAGTGTTCGATGTTTCAAATATATGTCGTTAATTATTATACATATCACGTGTATACACTATTTATTGTCTACAATTATGTTTCACATTTATGAAATAAAACAGATTGTACTGCTAAGTTCTGACATCAGACATATATTCAAATATCTCTCAAATGTCATCATTTATATTAATCTGTTACAAGTTAAACAAATCTTATATATTACCTCTGAGATTTTTTTCACTCGTTACACTATTAAAGCTGATTTGTTTCATTGAAATGAGTGTAACCAAATAAACTGTATTACTAATTATTTGACAAGTGGACAATGCGTTTCAAACTTTTTCACATATAACGTTTGCAGAAGTCGATATATCTTACTCCCGTAATTTACAACTTAGTCCAAAGCAACAGTTTGAAAAACGTTACACTTATGTTCGATGCACTTTTCTAGACTAAAGTTTTGCCTTTGACTTTGTCCCAAGAAATCTACCATGAAACAAGTTTCCTAGTCTAAATACTGAGAAATTAATGATTAACTGGGTGTGTTTTTATTTTAACTACAAGAGAACTGTATACAATATATGAAGTGAAGTATTCCACTCATCTATTTATCGCATTTGGTGCACCTTAAAGTGCTGTTCTTCTACCTTTCCTTGTCTTTGTTTTCTTTCATGATCTACCGTTTTCTAACAAAAAAAACTTTTGTTCAGTATAGGAACGATTTTACTGTATCCACATCAATTTCTCGTAGTTCTCACCGCCTAAAAAATGAATGGTTTTTTTGTGAACATTGAACGATGGTATATTTTAGATGGTCCTACAATTAATGCCTTTAAATCTCGAAGAGCTTCTTTAATGTTAGATGGTCGAGAGTAGTCTAGGGAAAACCCTGAATATGGTCTTCGTATCAGTTGAAACTTATCACCAAGATGTGCTGACAATCTTAGTTGACTAATGTTTCCTGAGTAATTCGACCTCTCATCACCCAGCTTCATGCTCTGAGGTATTCTAGTGGTGATTTATCTCTTGTAGAACTGAAGTTTTCGCATTATTTGGTCACTAGCGAGTGACCAATGTCATG